CACCCCATGTGGAAACAGGAAAGGAACAAACAGAATATATCCTGTGCAGAAGATGAAAAGGGTGTGATGCTGGAATGGGAGCAGCAGTAGTCTCAGAATTTGTTCCCCCAGAGCCTGCATGTGCATACAGAGGGTGTGTGGAGGGAGAATACAGCCACTGTGTGAAGTAGATGGAAGCATGGCATAGCTGTTTGTTCATTCAGCAAATATATTGAACATCTGTTCTATGCCTGCAAGTGTTCTAGGTGCTGATCAGTAATGAACAAGAGGGAGAAAAACATCTGTGTTGGTAGAGTTTCCATTCTAGAAGGGGAAGATTTACATAAACAGGAAAAGCAGTAACGTGGGGATTGGTGCATTGCAGATGGATATGGAAAGCAGAAAGCAATAGGATATTTTTTAATGAAAATAGACTGCAAAGGGTAAAATTTAAAAATATTTATAGATATCCAACAGATTTCACTTTAGAGGGTCTGTGTCCCTCCATTTTAATGTATTTTTCCCACATACAGAGTCTACCGTATTGAAACCTCAAGCACACTTTTATTGTCTTAACAAAATCCATCAAAAGTCATACGCTTCTGGAGACAGATTATTACCTTCACAGAAGGTAATCTTTTTAGAGTTGGAGTGAAATATGGTAACTCATTTTTTGGAGAGGCTGTGAAAAGGAGAGATATTGTACCTAAATTGTGTTTGCAAGAGTATAAAATAATATAGCTTTTTTAATGCAGAGTGAAAAAAACTGTTGTGAAGCTAATAACTTTAAACTTATATTTGGAAAGCTGAGACCTGATAGATTATATATCAAATGGGTATATAACTTATTTGGTAACACAAATAGTTTGAGTTTCAAGTATTGTAGCTACATGAGAAGATAAATTACAAAAGAAGGCTATGTATTTGTGACACCAGAATTTCATGAACTCTAGAAAAGGAAGAGCAATCACTTTGCACAACAAATGATCTTATTCATGTGTATTTACACATACAGTACAGATACATATTTTCAAGATCTCAATAATATCAGAAATGTTAAGGGGGATACTAACAAAAGTAAGTTAATATAAAAGACCAAATGCCTTTCCCTTTCCTCTTTTTTTTTTTTTTTTTTTTTTTTAAAAAAAACTGTATTTTAGAACAGTTTTAGGTTCACAAGAAGTTTTAGGTTCGCAAGAAAACTGAGCAGAAAGTATACACAGAGTTCTCATGTAACTCCTACCCTACACATGCTAATAGCCCACTCCACTAGCAACATCCTACACTGAGTGGTACATTGGTTACCATTGGTGAACCTTCAGTGACACATCATTGTTACCCAGAGTCCATAGTCTGCATTAAGATTCATTTCTAGTGTTGTACATTCTGTGGGTTTTGACAAATATGTAATGATATGTATCCACCATTATATTATCAGAGTATTTTCACTGTCCTAAAAATCCTCTAGGCTCCTCCTGTTTCTTTCCTCTCTTAACTTCTATTAACACTTGATCCTTTTTTTTTTCGGAGACAACGTCTCACTCCATCGCCCAGGCTGAAATACAGTGGGGTGATCTCCTGCTTCTACCACCTGAGTAGCTGAGATTACAGGTGTGTGCCACCATACCCAGCCAATTTTTGTAGCTTTATTAGAGATAGGGTTTCCCATATTGGCCATGCTGGTCTTGAACTCCTTGACCTACCCCAAATGATCTGCCCCCCTCAGCCTCCCAAAGTGCTGGATTACAGGTATGAGCCACCATGCCCAGCCAACACCTTATCTTTTTATTGTCTCTGTAGTTTTGCCTTTTTCAGAGTGGCATAGAGTAAAATCATATAGTATGCTACCTTTTCATAACAACTGCTGATTTCACTTAGGACTGTGTCTCCTCCATGTCTTTTCATGGCTTGATAGCTCGTTTCTTTTTAGCACTGAGTACTATTTCAATGTCTGGATATACTAAAGTTTATTTTATCCACTCACCTACTGAAGGGCAACGTGGTTGCGTCTACATTTTGGTTGTGAATAAAGCTGCTATAAACATCCATGTGCAGGTTTTTGTGTGGACATAAGTTTTCAACTTATTTGGGTAAATACCAAGGAGGGTGATTGCTGGATTGTATGGTAAAACTATGTTTAGTTTTATAAGAAACTGCCAAATGGTCTTTCCAAGTGGCTGCACCATTTTACATTCCCACCAGCAGTGAATGAGAGTTCCTGTTGTTCCACATCCTCACCAACACTTGGTATTGGTAGTATTTTAGAATTTGGCCATTCTAATAGGTGTGTAGTAGTATCTCATTGAACATCTTTTCTTTTCTGAGATGGAGTCTTACTCTGCCACCCAGGATGAAGTGCAGTGGCACAATCTTGGCTCACTGTGACCTCTGCCTCCCGGTTCCAGTGATCCTCCTGCCTCAGCCTCCCCAGTAGATGGGACTACGGGTATGGGCCAACACACCCAGCTAATTTTTGTATTTTTAGTAGAGACAGGGTTTCACCATGTTGGCCAAGCTGGTCTCGAATTCCTGACCTCAGGAGATCCACCCGCCTTGGCCTCCCAAAGTACTAGGATTATAGGCATGAGCCACTGTGCCCAGCTAGACATCTTTTCATATGTTTATTTGCTCTTTGTACATTTTTGGTGAGGTGGCTGTTCAGATTTTTTGCCCATTTTAAAATCAGGTTGTTCATGTTCTTATTGTTGGTTTTAAGAGTTCTTTGTATATTTTGGTTGATACTATTTTATTCAGATATGTTTTTAGCATCTATTTTCTTCTGGCATGTGGCTTACTTGTCTTCTGCAGAGCAGATGGTTTTATTTTTAATGAAGTCTAGCTTGTCAGTTTTTTTTTTTCCATGGATTTTGTTTTGGTATTGTAAGTAGAGTCATCTCCAAATCCAAGGTCATCTAGATTTTATTCTGTCATCCTCTAGGAGTTGTATAGTTTGGTGTCTAAGTATATTTTAATAGTTATTTTTTGGTAGAATTGCTGATTTAAAAGTAAAATTATGGCTGGGCACGATGGCTCACACCTCTAATCCCAGCACTTAGGGATGCCAAGGCAGGTAGATCACTTGAGGTCAGGAGTTTGAGACCAGCCCGGCCAATGTAGTGGAACCCCATCTCTATTAAAAATACAGAAATTAGCCAGGTGTGGTGGCTCGTGCCTGTGGTCCCAGCTTGCTTGGGAGGTTGAGGCACAAGAATTGCTTGAACCTGGGAGGTAGAGGTTGCAGTGAGAAAAGATCATGCTAATCCACTCCAGCCTGGATGACAGAGCAAGACTCTGTCTCAAAAAAAAAAAAGTTAAAATTATAAATTTATTCCTTAAAAACTTCTATCTTGCCATTTAATGGATAGGATGATATGCTATGCTTGAGATAATGCAGATAGGTAAGGCCTACATTAAGTTTGGATTTCACTGGTAATTTTCACTGTTTTTTTAATAATTTGATGGGATATGAACTTTTATTCTTTTGCAAAGATAGTATATACATTCCTGAAAGGAAGAGTTTTATTTTTTTTCTTCCATGGGTCTTGAATGAATAATTACAGAAAAGCATTTAAATCATATGTAGATCAGGAGACTGTTTAAAGATTTAATGGAATACTTTTTCCACAGAATGTTCTTAGGTTTCCTGATTGATAAGTTTATTCAGCCATTTTTTAAATGACATTTTCAGCACCTGGAAGCTGACCTCTTAATGTTGTGCTGGATTGTGACTGTCTTCTTTGACCTTTAAACCAGAACTTTACAAATTAAGGCCTAATTTTGGTAACTAAGAGTAAAAAGCAACTCTTTCTTCTTTCACTTTTAATGGTATGCAAGTTTTTGCTGGTACTGTACTATATCCTTTCTAAAACAGGTCAATTCTAGCTCCTCTTACTGTCTTAAATGAAATTTAAAATGACCAAAATCCAAGCACAGTGGGTCCTGGGGAAAGGTGGAGGAAATAGATTATACTGTGTTTAGTTTTATCTAAATACCTTTTAGAGCATGTCAAGGAATTCGTTTTCAGTTAATGATGTTTCATAAGCGTCTTCAACAAACTCACAAAAATTTTCACAGATGAATATATGCATAATCTAGGACATACAGGGCATTGTTTACATTATTAAAAAGAGTAACAGTTTCAAAGAGTACTGCCAATTTCTCCCAATTTCATATTTCATTTTTTAACCTCCATTTCACATTTTAAATGCTTAGTTCCTAGTTTTGTACAGATATTATCTAAAATGAGGAATAGAAGATTAAAAATGATTAAAAGTATATGCTGTGGTTCTAGAGACACATCATGTTTTTAAACTCTAAAAAGGAAAAATTCTAAGTTTAGAAGGAGATTTCATTTGTAAAATTGACTCTGTACTTGATAAGCAATGTTTAAATTCATTGGTGATAAATATGCATGTTGGTATAGTAAAATTCCATTTTTTACATAATGCTTTAATGGAAATGGCAGTTTTATGAAATGAAAGTGACTAGTAAAAATCTGAATGAAGCTCATAAGACTTTACATCATTTTTATTGAGGGTTTTGTGTATTCTAATCCATTAATACAGGGGGAAAAGAGAACACTAATATGGTTTATTTCCTATAATTACTCAAATCGAATAGAATTTATTTTCACTAACATTTTTAGAGTAAATTACCCAGAGTAGGAGGAGGAGGGTTGGTGTGTTCTTACAAACTATCTTGCTGGGACTTTGGTATTTTACCAATAATGTTGTTTCATTGCATATATTTTCAGGTATGGCTCCCTCCACATTTTTACAATTGAAAGCCTGTGAAAGGCCAAGAAATCCCAAGCATGTAAAGACAGGATTGTGGAGGGAGAAATCTGGGATTTTTTTAATTCTGTTTGTTATTACAAATATTGCTTGTCTTTTACCAATTTAGACTTCCTTTTATGTGATTTATATAAGTTGAAGCACCATCAAAATTGCTGTGTAATAGCAGTTAATTGCTACGTAATAGATTAACCCAGGGAAATTTTCTTTCTTTCTTTTTTTTTTTAGAGATGGGGTTTCACCATGTTGGCCAGGCTGGTCTTGAACTCCTGACCTCAGGTGATCTGACTGCCTCGGCCTCCCAAAGTGCTGGGATTACAGGCTTGAGCCACCGCGCCCGGCCGGAAATTTTCAAAAACAGCTAAGTGTTTACATTTAAATTTCGTTTATTTTTGTGGAGTACCTTGAAGAAGAGGTCAGTGTGTAAGGGATAAACAAATACTTAAATTTGGGATCTCCACACCCCAGCTTCATAAGGGGATGAGGGAAACTAGAAACTGAGTTGGAAGCTAGCAAGTATTCTTCATTTCATCACAGTGAAATCTTGATAGCATCTCTATTTTCTACTCTTTCTGTACTTCAAAACATCTTAGAAGAAAAGATCTATGTATTTTTGGATATTTTGGGGGCCATTATGAATTCTTGGCATTCTGATTTGAAGATACTTGCATGTTTTTGAGGCAGAATTATTGAAACTGGTAACTTTAAGCTTAGATTAAAATGCTTTGTGGCCTGAGAGTTTTTGAATCGCATTCAAAGTGTCATTGAGTACCTTTCATCCCTAGGCTTTATATTTGAAAGCTCACCCCTTTTCAGGTGTCTCTTTATGTCATGTGTCTTTTTGTCCACTTTTTTCTTCCTTCCCCTAGCGTTGTGGTGCTGCTGTGCTTATGTGGAGTTGTTCTGAGTTGTGGTTTTTAGATGAGGGTCAGGGAATGCATGTACATGGCGATTTGCTTGTGCCCTCATAGGTTTGTGTGCCCCTTATGACTGTGTGTGTGTTTGACCCTAGAAAATCAGAGCTCGCATAGTTATTCTTTTTACCCCACCCTGTGAGTGCTGAAGTGATCCACTCCTTAAGCAAGCAAAGAGACTTACTAGGAGGTCAGACTTTTTTCCACCTTTATTGTGAGTCAGACTGCTTGTGTTGGAGAGTGGAAAAGGGTAGTCACAGAGAGTGCTGCCTCTGTAATCTCCCTAGCACTGCCTCAGCACCAAGTGTCCTGTTGCTCCCTTTTATGCCAAGAACTTGATGCAAGGATGGAGCGGCGTCAGCATCTGGCTCTCCCTTACTGTAGCTGAAAATCCTTTTGGGCCACAGGTGCCTGGCCTCCTCTGTACTCTTAGTTTGTAAGCTGACTTAGAATGTAGTTGATAGGGTTGTTTGTGATAGAAAGGTAAGCAAATGGAGAAATTCTCTTGCAGTGTTTTGTCTGTGAAGGTGTCACTGCTTGTGGAATGAGAACAGTGTTTGGCATAATAATTCACAAAACAATGGATGATGCAGTAGTATAGTCAGTTCTGCTATAACGCATTCTTGGAATCACCACACTATACAGAATAGCTTGGTAAAAACCATAGTGCTTATGAGGGAAGTGTGGTTAGGGGCACAGTACTGAAAGACTGTTGGTGACATATGCACAAAGATAGGGTCCTTGTAAAACCACAAATGCTATAGCAGATACGGCACTTTTCTTGAAAAAGACCCAAATTTTGTCTGTCGATATGAACATCAAAGAGTTGTTTTCTGTGTTACTGTGATGTGAAGTAAGGAGGATCACCTGAAATTGTATGAAAAGTTGTAACACCAGGTGTGGACAGGTGCGGCTCATTATCCACGAGGTGACCTGAGGTATCCCATAGGTGGGTGAGGTGTGCGTGCTTGTGTGTTTTTTGTATTTCTTTGCAGCTAGGTTTAGTGAGGAGCAGTTTTCTGTGTTCACCTAGTGTTGATAGCAGATAAAACCATGCAGAAACAAATGCAAAAATTATCTTATGCACAGATTGTCCCCCTGATATTCACATCAGTCATGTTGGATCAAGTTTGTGTTTTCAAAATAAGCCTCATAGCAGAACTGGCTGTCGTTTGATTTTGGGAATGAGTACTGTTTCCTCCCTTCCTTATCACTTTTTGATTTTTTAATTTGTGTTAAGGTAAGCCCATATCAGATTGACTTTTTTCATGCCTTGAGCACCTCAAGAGTAGAGATACCAGCCTGAGATTTTAATTTTGCTGGAGATAACCCACAGGTAGTTTTCTTCTTGGTGAATATATAGATTGAGACCTTCATTCAATGCCAGGCACAGTGCTGGGGCTACAGAGATGGGTAAGGTATAATCCTTGCCCTCAGGAGCTTAGAGTCTTACTGAAAAATTTTTGAAAACACAAATTTGAACGTTTTTGTTGGGTCTTAGGGAACAAATGAAGCAACATTACGTATTTGTTTGTGAACACACAAGCACACTCGCTTTCCCTACCTTCACCTTCTGCTTCCTTGTAAATGTAAAGACAAGAGTAAAGAACTTGCCTAGAGGAAACAGAAATTCTGACTTACAGGTGAAAAATATGTGAATTTGAAAAGGTGTTGAAAAGGACCTGTGTTTTTGTAGTTCAACCTAGCCCACCTGACAAATAAACACAGAGATCACATGTCCACCGTGGATGGGTAAATGAAAAACAAGTTTCAGAGTAATAGGAATAGTATTATTTCATTATTTGTTAGCCCCCATCCCTTGCATATGTGTGCATCTATTGTTTGTGTAAGCACAGGTAATGTGGAAATATCTCCCGTATTGTTAATATTAGTTACCTCAGGGGACAAGGGAAAGCTTATTAGCTTCCTGTTTATACATCTTTTATTGTTTCGTTTGTTTTAAGAAGCATGTTTTACTTTTTTAATTAAAAAATCTAATAAAGTAGGAAGCGAATAAATAATAGTAATAAAAAATATCCTTAGGGCTGGGCACAGTGGCTCACTCCTGTAATCCCAGCACTTTGGGAGGCTGAAATCAGCACGCCTGTAGTCCCAGCTACTCTGGAGACTGAGGCAGAAGAATTGCTTGAACACAGGAGGCGGAGGTTGCAGTGAGTCAAGGTAGCACGACTGCACTCCAGCCTGGGTGACAGAGCGAGACTGTCTCAGAAAAAAAAAAAAAATCCTCAGGCCACTGAGCCTGTTTCAGTCTTCCTGGTAGCCTGAGTAGTTAATACTGTTTGTAATGGTTCAGGTGTGGACTGCCCAGCAGGACTCTAAACTTCTTGCTATAGCCTAAGATGATATTAAGTTTTCTTCAGCAACACTATAGAGAGTTTCTGTGTTTATAGATCATTAACACCTCAAACTCTTTCTTCCATCTGCTCCTCTTTGCACACTGTGCTCTAGATAATGATTTTGGACTGAGTTTAGTCCTTTACGCTCTCCATGTTAGATTTCATATTGTTACTGTGGAAATCAGTATTTAGCATGGGTAAGAACTGGCCTTAGATGCAAGCCATTTGGTTATAGATTCTTACTATCACTGTCATGAAAACTTAGACAAGTAACTTGTTTCCTCAAGCCTCAGTTTTCTCATTTGTAAGACAGCAATAATCAAAGTTGTGAGGTTTCAATGAGATGCCACATGTTAGAACACTTAGACTAGGTATCTGGTGAAATACTGGGAACATGGTAAATATTAGCTGTTACTGCTAGTGCATTAACCTCAGCTCATCTCTTCCATCCATTAGCAAGTTAATGAGATAATCATGGATCTCAAATCTTCCCTTAATTGTATTTATAGCTGTCCTTTCCATAAACCTTCTAAACTTTCCTCATGAAATCCCCAATCAGTCTCTGTCTCATTCTACAGGTCCCTTTACCGATGTTGTCACCACCAACCTAAAGCTTGGCAATCCGACAGACCGAAATGTATGTTTTAAGGTGAAGACCACAGCACCACGTAGGTACTGTGTGAGGCCCAACAGCGGGATCATCGATGCAGGGGCCTCAATTAATGTATCTGGTAAGTCCCAAGATTGAAGACCTGGAGGGCAAGCTACAAGGCCCCTAGACAGTAGGTTTTCTTAAAGTTTGTATTTGCAGGGTAGCAAAAGATGATAGATTTCTCTCAACCTCCCCCACAACCCTCCTCCCCCTGATCAGAAAGCTGGGTCCCAGTCGCCTGTTTTTCTGTAATTAATGCCTCCTTGTTTCAATACTTACAGCCCCCTTGCACCTCAATGGAGCAAAACCGAAGTGGTAACTTTAGACTTTACTTCAGAATGAGTTTTGTTTTCACTCCCTTGAAATTAAATATGCCCTTTGGCAATAAATGAAAAAGGCTAAACAAACTTAATTTTACTTTGTGGGAGAAAGCTAAATGGAGTTATTTTCTTATTTAAGCTAAATGATTTCTGACATTAAGCACATGTCATTTCCAATGATTGGCCACTGCACTTTACTGATTGTGAAACGCTAAGGGAGATGAGGGCTGAGGAAACTGGAATGTATTCAAGGGTGTCAGTTTTGTGTATGTCTGATGGTTTTTTTTCCCCTTCTGTCTGGGAATGCATATATTTTCCAAAGTCCAACTTTTGAAAAGATGCTGGTAAAGTGCCCAAATTGAGAATTGAATTTCAGAATTAAGGAGATGTCAGTGATGGGTTGGAGTTTAAATGTATTTTAGAAATGGGATAAACTTTGAGCTCATTAGAACTTCTGTAGCCAAGAAGGAGCTATGGGGAGTGTGTATTTATCCTGTAAATATCAGCTGACTCCGTGTCACAGAGGCTTCTGCATCAATAAAAGCTACTGCTCATTTGATATGAGTACCTATCTGGCTTTTTCCATGTTAGATTTTGATTGTGGTACATTTGGCTACTCATTTGACACCTTAAAGAAAATGATTCACCTCCCTGGAAAGATATAAGGTGTTTCATTATCTGATCATTTCTGCAAACTCTTATTCCCTGCATCTGTTGCTCTCTCATTATGGCGTACCCAAGCCAGTTCTCCCCCTGTGCTTCTCTGAGTCTGCAAGACCTGATCTGGACTCTCGAATCAGGTTATTATCCAGAAGTCAGGAGGGTAGAAGCCAGCACTGATTGAGGGGCCTCTGTATGCTGGACCTGCACATATACTGTCTCATGTCATTTCTCTTATCTGCCCTGTAAGGGATGTATTGATATCTCCATTTTACTAAGAAGGAGACTGGTGGTCATAGGATCATGAAGCTAGCAATTGACAGAGCCAAGATGTGGATCATTCTGACTAGTTCTGAAGCCCATGCTCTGGACTGCAGCTCTCTGGAGAAAGGAAGGGACTAGGATTTTGGCATTTCTATGTCTCCTGGATCTGTATGGTTAAAATTTTTCTGGTGACATCAAGGGCAGCTGAAATCTTTTATTCCCATATTTTATCTGTTTCTTCCCCCTCGATTTTCATGCCCATATCACATTCGAGCAAGTTTATCATTAGGCAAGGATTACCAATTTTTATAGTAAGAACAGGGAATGCAGCATGGTTTCTGGATAAAAGAATTCCAGTAAGTAGTTGTACAATGTTGGTGTGTCTTCTGATACCAAATATAAATATATATGGGTGGGTGTATGTATATGTCTCTCTCTCTCTCTCTCTTTTTTTTTTTTTTTTGAGGTGGAGTATTGCTTTGTTGCCCAGGCTGGAGTGCAGTGCTGTGATCTCGGCTCACTGCAACCGCCATCTCTCGGATTCAAGCAATTCTCATGCCTCAGCCTCCTGAGTAGCTGGGATTACAGGCATGTGCCACCACACCTGGCTAAGTTTTGTATTTTTAGTAGAGATGGGGTTTTACCATATTGGCCAGGCTGGTCTTGAACTCTTGCCCTCAAGTGATCTGCCGGCCTCGGCCCCCACAAAGTGCTGGGATTACAGGCGTGAGCCATTGTACCTGGCGTCTCTGTCTTTCAGGAAGATTCATTCTTCCCCATCATAAGAATTTTTAAAAAGTAAAAACGAACTCTGCCTTTGTTCTGATTTATGATTGTTCACTCAAGGAATACCGAGACTTTGTGGTTGTGGCCTTCCTTTGGCAGATAAGAAAGTGAAGCACATGGCATGACCATCAAGGTTCACATGGATGGTCATGGCAGCACTGGTATTTGAAGGTAGTGGCTCGGCTCCTGATCCAGTACTCTTTCTGTCATACTAAACTGCTTCAGTGTAGTGTAAGAGGATGACCCCACTTATGTATGAATATAAAAAGTACCATCATTCTCAAAGTGTAATGTATTCAGGGGAAAAAGCAGTTGAAGAATAAAATGTCCATGTGTCTGTAAACTTCCTTCCTAAATAAGACGAGATCATATCTGCACCTTAGAAAGGGCTCCTTTGTTATTGTTTGGTATTTATCTCAGTGCTTGAGGGGAACCAAGGTGAAGCCAGATATCATTACATTTCTAGGACAGCCTTACAAGTCAGCAAAGGAGCTAGCCCCGTTTGCTGCAGTTGTATGTGCTGAGGGACCACTTCATCATTTATTAGACATGTATAACTTGGGATAAAAAGCACTGCTCTTGTGCAAAGGTCCTCTTGGTATTAATACAGCTACACGATGACATCTTGGTGAGTTCATGGAGTTCTCAGGAGAAGGAGGATACCAGTGAGCAGGCAGTACACATTATCCAAAAGCCAGCCCCCACTTCTCCCCAGAAGCGCACATGGCCAAACTTGGTTTTACCCACTGTCTTCAAAGATTAGTGGATTTGAAGTCAGGAAACCGGAACAGGAAGACAGTTGTGCTGTTTAACCAATTGGCTGAATTTTGACCAACCTGTTAACCTTTCTAGGTTATTGTTTTCACATTTGTAAAGTAGCGAGAAGAGTATCTACCTTACAGAATATTTACAAATACTGCATGATCAACAGCACCGTACAAAAGTGGGGTTACATTATTCTTCCTCTCCCTTTGACAAAAACTGGCTAGTTTTTGAAGAAGGTGGATTGCATAATACTTGAATTGAATGTTTAGAAATCAGTTCACCCCTACATTTTATTTATTTATGGACCTTTCATAATTTTGAGAAGAAATTTGTGTTTTTTCTTCCTTCTGTAATATTCATTTATTTAATAGTGAAAAGTTGCCAGTAAATTTTCCGATATATAGAAAGGTGGACACCAAATCAACTTAAAATACTGCTAGCATTGCCCTGCCCACCACTCAGAGTATCACCGCATACCTGAGAAGGACATAACCAGTACATTTTTCCTATTTCTGAAAACCTTGGGATGCACTAGCTGTTAGGGAAGGTCGTAAATCATTATTTTCAATAGAGTAAGGAGGGAGGGAGTGAGGGGGAAGGAAAGAAAGACAGGAGGGGGACAGGAAGGTGGGAAGAGAGGAAGGGTTGATGGTAATGATGATGTCCACCCATGGAGCTGGCACCTGTGCTGGCCAGAGGGGTCAAGGTTTTGAAGGCACACAAGTCCAGATTGTGACGTGGAAAGCCAGATGTCTTTCAGACATACCTTGTGAAGCTCTTTTCACCTTTTCACATTACCCTGATATTCAAGGGACCTTACATTATGCTTCAAAAGTTTAGGCTCTGTTTTCTTTTTTTTTTTTGAGACGGAGTTTCACTCTTGTTACCCAGGCTGGAGTGCAATGGCACGATCTCGGCTCACCGCAACCTCCGCCTCCTGGGTTCAGGCAATTCTCCTGCCTCAGCCTCCTGAGTAGCTGGGATTACAGGCACGCGCCACCATGCCCAGCTAATTTTTTGTATTTTTAGTAGAGACGGGGTTTCACCATGTTGACCAGGATGGTCTCAATCTCTTGACCTCGTGATCCACCCGCCTCGGCCTCCCAAAGTGCTGGGATTACAGGCTTGAGCCACTGCGCCTGGCCCTAGGCTCTGTTTTCTTCAGAACATGGCAGATCACTTATTGGGTCCTTAAAAAATACTCGCTTTTATAAACTTAAGTGGTAAAGTAACAGTTGGACTCAGGCATAACCTAAACTTTTCTTGTCAGTGGATTATAATGTGTGGGCTTTCCCAAAGAGTTGCTTTAGGGTCTGGTCCCTTGGACCTGTGATTTGAATCCTTTCTTTGTCCTTTCCATAGGTGCTCATCTCATCTCATTTTTATTGTAGCTCCTTCTGGGGTTTGTGCTTTTTGGATGAGGCAACATCTAGGAAGGGGGTGCAGGGGGCTTTCTGTTTGCATTCTTGGGCCCAGAATGCTGTGATTTTGGCCCCTTGCTCCATGATACGTACTATCAACTAGAGATGGTTTTGAATTACTTAATCTGGACCTCAGCAAAATAGGCACACTTAAATAGAGATTGGAGAAGAGGAGGTTGGATTTTTTTTTTCCTCCTGAGATTTCAAATGTGAGGAATAAAGAAGTTTTTGAATTAACAAATTGTTTGAGGCAGTGGGAGATCTTCCCATTTGTTCTAGCTTTACAAAATTAAATCTATTTTCTGAACTGTATGGTGGGAAAATATTTTTAAGGTACATAATTTCTGAAAATATCGTTGTGATAAGCTGTTAGTGGTTGTGGATTTCTTTTTTTAATGCTGCAGTTTAATAATGAGTGAGTTTTTCATTAATATTCCAAACCATGTTTGCCAGTGGATACAGCAGGTGAAGTGGTAAAATTATGGGCCCATCAAAAATACTTAACGCTTCCTGTAATATGATACTAAGTTTAATATTTTTATAACCTTCACTGAATTCTAATTTCACTAAAGTAGCAAGCATGCTTCCATTTTGCAGTTCAATTATGCACATTGGTTGCCTGTGTACCAAACAAATTAGAAATGCAAAATATCTGTGTGTGGAGGGGCGCATTGGAAAGAGTCATTAAAGATACCAATATTTAGGTACAGACACACTTTACTAAGTGTACCTTGGGAATTGAAAATGTATTAAAGATAAACAAACACAAAACTCCCGGTGTCTGTATCTGTATTTTAAATTAGAATTCAAAGGACTAAGGAGCAGTATTCATTCTTGACATACAGACCTTTTCAGCACTCTTT